TTCACGACTCACACGATTCGATTCACACGAGCTTCACGACTCACACGATTCGATTCACACGAGTTTCACGACTCACACGATTCGATTCGACTCACACGATTCGATTTACATGTGATTCGCGACTCACAAGATTCGATTCACATGAGCTTTGCGACTCACAAGATTCGATTCGACTCACACGATTCGATTCACATGTGATTCACGACTCACACGATTCGATTCACACGAGCTTCACGACTCACACGATTCGATTCACACGTGATGTGATTCTCGATTCATCTGGAGATACATACACTGTCGTTCAAAAGTTTGGGATCAGTCATTTTCTTAAGAATTTAAAGAAATTAATACTTTTATTCAGCAAGCTTGTGTTAAACTGATAAAAAGAAATGATAGTAAAGACTTATATTGACAGAAAAGATTTATATTTCGAATAAACGCCGTTCTTTTTAACTTTTTATTCATCAAAGAATCCTGAAAAAGGATTCTAATATTGATAATAAATCAGAATGATTTCTGGAGGATCACGTGACTCTGAAGACTCAGCGCTGCATCACAGGAATAAATTACATTTGAAAGTATATTAAACTAGAAAACTATTGTTTTAAATTATAATACTATTTCACAATATTACTGTTTTTTCTCTATTTTGGATCAAATAAATGCATCCTTGAAAAGCAAAAGAGACTTCTTTAAAAACAACAACATTAAAAATCCTGTTGATCCCAAACTTTTGAACGGCAGTGTATATATATATATTTAATTTAATTAAATCTCTCAACTATTGCTGTGAATTATTCAGGGAAACATGTCAGTTACGCTACTATAATATTAAAGGCTACAATTAACGATTCTACAATTAACAACAAACTTCTAAACGGCACACAAGGCAGTTTTTATTATAATAATGTTATATTAATAACTTTTTAATGATATAATTGTTTCTACTTCAATTCATTTTTTGAGATACAAACATTTTAAAAGGTTTAAAATTTTAATTCTTGATGTCATTTTTTTTTAAGCATTAATTTACTTTAATTCATAAAATTTTTGCTTCTTGGTGCAAATTATGTTGAATAATTAATTTAATAAGTATTTAGTTTGTGCTTCTTTCACACCAATAAGGACAAATTATTTAATTTAATTTAGAAGAATTCATTTAATTTACTTTAATTAAATTTGTCCTTGATTTAATTCATTTTAAAGTGTTAATTTAATAATTATTTAATTTGCCCTTCTTGATGCAATTAATCTTACAGCATTTATTTACATTGATAATGAACAATTTTTCATTCTTGATGTAATTTATTTTGAAGAATTAATTAAATTTAAAAGCTTTCTTCTTGATTTAATATGTTATTAACGTCATTAACCTTTGTCTGTAATGACAGATATAATTAGGGTTCTGCAAAAAATAAATTGTGTTTGAAATATAAATATTAATTGGTAAAAATTAAAACTTTCCTTGATGTAGTTTATTTTTTATTGAATTTATATGAATAATTATTTGAATTATTTGTCCTTCTTGATGTAATTTATTTTGAGGCATTAATTTATTAAACTTAATTTATTATTTTTTCTTCTTCTTGATGGAATTAAAGTAAGTTAAATAAATTAATGCCTCAAAATAAATTACATCAAGAAGGGGCAACAAATGTATTATTAAAGTAAATAAAATTAATGCTTAAATAAATGTAATGGGCAAACAGCTGATTAAAATGAAAAAGAAAAACATTTCAAAATTAATTATATCAAGAAGAATTTTAAAAAATAATAATTTTACTTAATTTTCATAAAATGCTAGTATGAACGAGCATGTTGCTAACATGTCTCTAACATGTTTAACATGGTGCTAGCATGTTTTAACATTACACTGAAATAAATTAGCTTGTTGCTAGCATGTTTATAACATGTTTTAACACATGGCTAACATAAATTACCATGATGTTAGCATGTTTAACGTGTTGCTAACATGTTTTACCATTATGCAAGCATGTCTCTAGCGTGTTTAACACATGGCTAGCAAATTTAAAACATTAAATATCATGCTGCTAGCATGTTTTACTACCATGCTTGAATTAGCATGTTGCTAACATGTCTTTAGCGTGTTAAATGTGTTGTTAGCATTTTTATCACTATGCTAGCATGAATTAAAATGTGCTATCGTTTAACATGTTGCTATCATGTTTTAAAACTGTTAACATGTTTCTAAACTGTTGTAGCACATTGTTTCTAATATGTTTAACATGTTGCTAACATGATTTAACACTATGCAAACATGAATGTGCTAGCATATCTCTAACGTCTTTAACACATTAACATGAATTATCAAGTTGTTAACATGTTTCTAATATTTAACGTGCTGTTAACATGTTTTAACACCATGCTTGAATTAACATTGCTAGCATGTCTCTAACATGTTTAGCATGTTGCTATCATGTTTTAAAACAATGCTAGCATGTTTCTAACCTGTTTTAACACATGGCTAACATGTATCTAACATGTTTAACATGTTGCTAGCTTGAATGAACATGTTTTAACACGTTGTTAACATGAATTAACATGTTGTTTGGATGTTGTAAGAAAATGTTCGCATGATTAGCATGTTGCTAGCATGTTTCTAACCTGTTTTAGCACATACCTAACATGTTTCTAGAATGTTTAACATGCTGCTAACCAGTTTTAACACTAGGCTAGCATGAATGACCATGTTGTTTGGATGTTGTAAGACAATGCTAGTATAATTAGCATGTTGCTAAGATGTAAGACAATGCTCGTATAATTAGCATGTTGCTAAGATGTTTTACCTAATGGCTAACATGAATTAGCATGTTGTTAACATGAGTTAACGCTTTGCTAGGCTTTGCTCTATAGGAGTTGTGTAAAAGTTTTCACACCCTGAATGGAAGTTTATGGAAGTTTGCGCTGTTGCTAACATGTCGTTAGCATGTTAAATGTGTTGTTAGCATTTTTTTATCACTATGCTATCTTTAATTAACATGTGCTAACATTAAACATTAATGACCATGTTGTTTGGATGTTGTAAGACAATGCTCGTATGATTAGCACATTGCTAAGATGTTTTAGCTCATGGCTAACATGAATTAGCATGTTGCTAACATGAGTTAGCACTTTGCTATGTTTCGGGCACGATTTAGCATGTTTGCTAACACACTGCTAGCATGTTTTAACACGTTATCATAGGCTTCAGTCTATAGTGCAAAAGTTTTCACGCCCTGAATGGAAGTCTATGGGAGTTTGCGCTGTTCGGAAGTCCGACACGGGAATTCCGTACGTCGGTTCGAAAAGAGAATTCCAGTTAGCCTGAAGCTTTGTTCACTCACTGAGGTCGTTTGATTGGCTGTGGTTCAGGTTGCGATAAAACTCTGTCCGATGCGCCTTTTTGAGTCCCGTACACAGGCCGAAATCAGACAGCTTGACGTGACCCTAAAACACACACACACAGGTAATGAAGCACAGCTCTCAGCCAATCAGACGCCTCGCTAACGAAAGATGAGTATTCTTATAAATAATTTTATTATTTAATAATTGTCCATTAAAAAATATATAAGAGCTATTAATTTTGTATTCTTAGGAAAAAAACATTTTGAAAACACCTGAATAATACAAAGTTACAAGATCATGTACATTACGTTTAATGCGTAATCAATTTTTTACAATTTTAAAAATCTTTTTGTATTCCTTATCAGAAAACGCTACTTATTTTATGATCTAAATGCTACAGTGCCACGCAGTAACTGACGCTAAGCAGCTAGCTACGTTAGCCAGCGTTACCTAGCTAGCCTCTGCTAACCTGCAAAAACTAACGATGCTCGTTAGACTCTTTTCTGATTGGCTGATTTCTCAGGATAGTGAGGGTTCGAAATAACGTCAGCTGTATTTCAACATTTTTAAATGTTAAATAGTTCGAAAAAAGGCTCACAAAACACTTACGAATCAACGCTGAAATGTCAAAAAAAAAAAAACTGTACGAAAAGTATGACGCTGAAACAACGTCGCAATGATCTGATTTGCTAATATTTTTAATTTATATTCCGAGCGATTCTGACGGTTCGCGATCTCATTTGCATAAATTTAACTTCTTACCAATCAGCATCTCGAACATGATGACGCCCAGACTCCACCAATCGCAGAGCTTGTTGTATCCGGTCTGCATGAAGACCTCCGGCGCGATGTAGTCCGGCGTTCCCACCGTGGAGAAGGCCTGAAAGAGGCGGAGCAACATAACGCATCACTTCCGGTGTGCTGTGAACATGCTAATGAAGCCGTCGCTAACACTGACCAGCTGCCTCCGGTTTCTCTTCCACGTCTCGGCCTTCCTCTTGGAGTTCATGTGCTGAAACGCTACGAGAAACACGCGCAAATTACTCATTTAATACTGAATATTCACATAACCAGGTCTAAAAGTTTCAAATAACTAAAAGTTCGAAAGTTTTACTCCGAGAAAGTCAATAACATGACTTAGCATCTTCAAGCATGTTGCTAGCATGAATTAACACGATGCTAGCATGAATTCGCATTTTTTAACACCATTAAGAATGTTTGCTAGCATTAATTAGCACGTTTTAACTCTATGCTAACATGTTGCAAACATGTTTCTGTCATGTTTTACCACATGGTTAACATGAATTAGCATGATGCTAACATATTTCTACCATGTTTGACATGTTGCTAGCATGAATCAGCATTACCGTTAACAGGTTTTAACATTATGCTAGTATGAACGAGCATGTTGCCAACATGTCTCTAACATGTTTAACATGGTGCTAGCATGTTTTAACATTACACTGAAATAAATTAGCTTGTTGCTAGCATGTTTATAACATGTTTTAACACATGGCTAACATAAATTACCATGATGTTATCATGTTTAACGTGTTGCTAACATGTTTTACCATTATGCAAGCATGTCTCTAGCGTGTTTAACACATGGCTAGCAAATTTAAAACATTAGATATCATGCTGCTAGCATGTTTTACTACCATGCATGAATTAGCATGTTGCTAACATGTCTTTAGCGTGTTAAATGTGTTGTTAGCATTTTTATCACTATGCTAGCATGAATTAAAATGTGCTATCGTTTAACATGTTGCTAACATGTTTTAAAACTGTTAACATGTTTCTAAACTGTTGTAGCACATTGTTTCTAATATGTTTAACATGTTGCTAACATGATTTAACACTATGCAAACATGAATGTGCTAGCATATCTCTAACGTCTAACACATTAACATGAATTATCAAGTTGCTAACGTGTTTCTAATATTTAACGTGCTGTTTACATGTTTTAACACCATGCTTGAATTAACTTTGCTAGCATGTCTCTAACATGTTTAACATGTTGCTATCATGTTTTAAAACTATGCTAGCATGTTTCTAACCTGTTTTAACACATGGCTAACATGTATCTAACATGTTTAACATGTTGCTAGCTTGAATTAACATGTTTTAACACGTTAACATGAATTAACATGTTGTTTGGATGTTATAAGACAATGGTCGCATGATTAGCATGTTTCTAACCTATTTTAGCACATACCTAACATGTTGCTAGAATGTTTAACATGCTGCTAACCGGTTTTAACACTAGGCTAACATGAATGACCATGTTGTTTGGATGTTGTAAGACAATGCTCGTATAATTAGCATGTTGCTAAGATGTTTTAGCTAATGGATAACATGAATTAGCATGTTGCTAACATGAGTTAACACTTTGCTAGGCTTTGCTCTATAGTAGTTGTTGTGTAAAAGTTTTCACACCCTGAATGGAAGTTTATGGAAGTTTGCGCTGTTGCTAACATGTCGTTAGCATGTTAAATGTGTTGTTAGCATTTTTTATCACTATTCTATCTTTAATTAACATGTGCTAACATTAAACATGAATGACCATGTTGTTTGGATGTTGTAAGACAATGCTCGTATGATTAGCACATTGCTAAGATGTTTTAGCTCATGGCTAACATGAATTAGCATGTTGCTAACATGAGTTAGCACTTTGCTATGTTTCGGGCACGATTTAGCATGTTTGCTAACATACTGCTAGCATGTTTTAACATGTTATCATAGGCTTCAGTCTATAGTGCAAAAGTTTTCATGCCCTGAATGGAAGTCTATGGGAGTTTGCGCTGTTCGGAAGTCCGACACGGGAATTCCGTACGTCGGTTCGAAAAGAGAATTCCAGTTAGCCTGAAGCTTTGTTCACTCACTGAGGTCGTTTGATTGGCTGTGGTTCAGGTTGCGATAAAACTCGGTCCGATGCGCCTTTTTGAGTCCCGTACACAGGCCGAAATCAGACAGCTTGACGTGACCCTAAAACACACACACACAGGTAATGAAGCACAGCTCTCAGCCAATCAGACGCCTCGCTGACAGAGAAGTGCTGTGAAAGCAGAAGAGGGCACAGGAAGTGGGTTATTGAGTCACTTCCTGTTCCTGTCAGGGTGTTTGACCTTGGAGTCCAGCAGCAGGTTGTCTGGTTTGATGTCTCGGTGAATGAAGCCCAGCTGGTGAATAAAATCGATGGCCAGAACGGTCTCAGCTACGTAAAACTGCGTCTCCTCCTCGGTCAGTGTGTCCTTCTTCATCAGCAGCGTCATCATGTCTCCTGGAAAACACAACAGATCGATCAGACTTTGATATTTCACGTACTTGAGCATCAAAAGCATGCCCATAGCCAGCTATGAGATCCGGACCTCGGTACATTTTTCATGAACTGAAGACACATCTGAAATCTACTGGAGTACAAAATGAAGAAGTTTGTTACTCAAACGCTCTCACCTCCGGGCAGGAACTCCATGAGTAAGTAAAGGTTCAGCTTGTCTTGAAAACTGTAGAACATCTTCACCACCCACAGACTGTCTGCCTGAACCAAGATGTCCCGCTCCGCCCGGATATGACCCACCTGAGGCCGAACATAACATCAAACACATCAAATAAAATACATTACATTGCATGCAAGAAAATTCAATATAAATCAATTAAAACACAAAATAAAGTTACACATAAAAAAATAAAATGTAAAATAAAAAATAACATAACATTACACAATAAATAAAACAAAATAACATCAAATAAAATCATAAAATTTAAATAAAAAATTACAAAATGGCACAATGACTGTGCAATGATTATGCAAATTACATAAAATAAAATACACGAATTACAAAATAAAATTAAAAAAGACAAAAAATTACAATAAATTAACCAAAAATAAATAAATAAATAAAAAAAACAGCACAATGATATATAATAAAAAATAAATAAAATATAAAATAAAACAAAATAACCAAATTAAATACAATAAAACAAAAAATGACAATGACATACAATGACAAAACAGACACAAAAAAATAAAAATAAACAACAAAATTACACAATTTTTGTATTATTAAAAAAATTACCAGAATGAAATAACATCAAATAGCCAAATACTAAATATAATAAAACAACACAAAATAACAAAATAAAATCATTATTTAGCTTCATTTTATTTGTTAATATTTTGTTCTCTATTTAAATGATCATTAATTTACTCGTGGTGCGATCATGATGTGTTTTTAAAGGTGACACATCATGAAAATCTGACTTCTCCAGGTGTTAAGTGCTATAATCAGGTCCCGGTGCATCTACCAAACAAGCAAACGTGAAAAAGATGAACCCAGTAACTTTGTTTTGGGAAGCCTTTTTCTGCAAGCGTCTGAGAAAACCAGCGCGTCTGATTTCACTCCACTAGTGACGTGGCAAAGATCTCATTATAATATTACCGCCTCCCTTAATCTGTAACTAATACACCCACAGCGCCGTCATTGTGTTTTCACAAGCGACAGCGGTGTAGCAGCTCTAACACCATGATGAAAGTTTGAGCGAAGCATGCTAACTGTTCTGTGTTTGGCTGCACAGACGAGCACTGAACACTGTTTAGAGTCCCAGCCTCAGACGAGACAACAGAGCAGTGCATTTATTGATTTATTTACTGTATATTGCGGCCGCCGGAGAAACTCAACACCGCCAGAACCTAGCCGGCCAGTTCAGCGAGTCTCTGTGAAAACCACTGCTTATTTGCCCTTTCATTCATCTTGTGTAATGGTTTATTTCAAAAGAGCTCAAGCTCTCTGGTGTGGCTTGCGGTTTATCAGACATTATAGTACGTGTAGTGGCTGCATCGCAGGTGGACATGACTGACATTTCCCATCGTCCCTGACCTTGCTGTACGACGGAGCCGCAGTCTGGGTCCTGTGCCACCTGCAGCAGGATCTCCTCCACATCTCTGTTCTTCCCGGGACGCTCCACCAGACGCGTGATCTGCTGCTGGAGAGAGCGAGGAAGAGCCATGAGCTGCGTGAACTGACCCTCCGGGCTTTTGTCCACCTAGAGAACAGAAAACATGCAGACATCTTGAATAAATACACTGGAGCTGTGCTAGAACAACTGCACTGTATTTTATGCATCCTCATTATTTATTCTTAACGGTGACATATCATTTCCAGGTTGTAAGTGCTATAATCAGGTGCATCTACCAAACAAGCAAACGTGAAAAAGATGAACCCAGTAACTTTGTTTTGGGAAGCCTTTTTCTGCAAGCGTCTGAGAAAACCAGCGTCTGATTTCGTTCGCTTGGTGACGAGGCAAAGGGATCTCATTATAATATTACCGCCTCCCTTAATCTGTAACTAATACACCCACAGCGCCGTCATTGTGTTTTCACAAGCGACAGCGGTGTAGCAGCTCTAACACCATGATGAAAGTTTGAGCGAAGCATGCTAACTGTTCTGTGTTTGGCTGCACAGACGAGCACTGAACACTGTTTAGAGTCCCAGCCTCAGACGAGACAACAGAGCAGTGCATTTATTGATTTATTTACTGTATATTGCTGCTGCCACACAGATCTAAAATAAACATGAGATTTATTTCCCAGCTGTTTACCTTCACAGACATAACCCACTGTTTTTGTAACTCGTGTGTGTTTTTAATGTAAACTTGTGTGTGAATGAGAGCTTAGTTTAGTGCTCGCATGCTGTGACAGCCGCTTTCTGTGCGTGTGCTTCAGATGTGTGCGCTCAGAAAACCCTATAGCTGAAGTTTAGACTCATATGCTTTAAAACGCATGATTTCAGTGCGATAAACATGACAATCAGAACCAAAACGGATGTTTTTAGCAGGTCCGAGCTGTAATGGCGCAGCGCTATTCTGGAAAAGGGGGCGGGTCAGCAGCTCATTTGCATTTAAAGAGACAGGCACGAAAAACAGCATGTTTCTGCTTCCACTCAAAATAGGCATTTTCAAAATGATATAATTAATGATATGTGGGGTATTTTGAGCTCAAACTTCACAGACACATTCTGGGAACACCAGAGACTTATATTACATATTGTAAAAAAGGGCATAATATGTCTCCTTTAATGACACATTCGTTAGGCGTCACCTGCTCTTTCTGCAGCATGTCGGCTTTGCGAAGGATCTTCATGGCGTAAACATGTCCCGTGTCTTTCTTCTGGACCAGACGCACCTGCAGACAGCAGAAACACACTCATTTACTGTATAACACAAATACACAGAGATTCATCAGTGTGTCATCAGCGCTCATTATCATAATCACCTCCCCAAACGCTCCTCGTCCAATCACCTTCAGCGACTCGAAGTCGTCCAGACCCAGTCTGGTTCTCTTCAGCCGCAGGAACTCGGTCTCCTTACGAGCGTGTTGGGAGCGGCGCATGCGCTTCTGGAACACAACATTCACGTATATGCCAATATTTATATATTCATATACTTATATGTAAAGACACATTTACTGTAACAATAACTAAGTAAGATAGCTATCTAACTAAGACAAGTCGATATAAATAATCGCAAATTCCACATCACAACTATAACATTCACAACTAGTTTTTTTCCAGCTGACGTATGATTAGAGCAATGACAATCTAATATAGCTATCGTTATAGTTAAGTTATCATTAGCATTTACGTTATCATTATAGTAATGATTAAAATTACGATTACAGTTATGATCATAGTTATCATTATAGATATCGTTACCATTATAGGTATTGTTACATTTAACTTATTGTTACCGTTATGAGATATCGTTTGTTTACAGTTATCGTTATCATTTATCTTTACGTTATCATTATAGTAACAATTATAATTACAGTTATGATTATAGTTATCATTATAGATAACGTTATCAATATAGGTATTGTTACCATTTAAATGATTGTTTCTTTAAAGTTATCGTTATCATTTAGCATTAAGTTATCATTATCATTTACATTATCATTATAGTAATGATTACAGTTATTATAGATATCGTTACCATTATAGGTATTGTTACCATTTAACTTATTGTTACGAGATATCGTTTGTTTACAGTTTTCGTGATCATTTAGTTTTTTTATAGCAGTTATCATTATGATTAAAGTTATAGTTACTGTTATCATTATAGTTATTGGTACAGATATCATTATGATTACAGTTGTCATTATAATTTCAGTTATCGGTACATATATTGTTATGATTACAGTTATTATAATTACCATTATCGGTGCAAATATTGTTATGATTACAATATTCATTAAAGTTATTGTTGCCATAGTTATCGGTACAGACATCGTTATGATTACAGTTGTCAATATAATTACCATTATCATTATAGTTATCAGTAACAATGTTGTTTTGATTACAGTTTCCTTTACAGCAACTGTTATCATAATAGTTATTGATACAGATATTATGAATACAGTTATCGATACAGATATCGTTATGATTACAGTTATCGGCACAGATATCATTACAGCTACTGCTATCATTACAGATATTACAATTTTAGTTATTACTGTTCTAGTTATGATTACAGTTATCGGCACAGATATCATTATGATTACATTTATCGTTACAGCTACTGCTATCATTACAGATATTAAAATTTGAGTTATTACTGTTCTAGTTATGATTACAGCTATCGGCACAGATATCGCTATGATTACATTTATCGTTACAGCTACTGCTATCATTACAGATATTAAAATTTGAGTTATTACTGTTCTAGTTATGATTACAGCTATCGGCACAGATATCGCTATGATTACATTTATCGTTACAGCTACTGCTATCATTACAGATATTAAAATTTGAGTTATTACTGTTCTAGTTATGATTACAGCTATCGGCACAGATATCGCTATGATTACATTTATCGTTACAGCTACTGCTATCATTACAGATATTAAAATTTGAGTTATTACTGTTCTAGTTATGATTACAGCTATCGGCACAGATATCGCTATGATTACATTTATCGTTACAGCTACTGCTATCATTACAGATATTAAAATTTGAGTTATTACTGTTCTAGTTATGATTACAGCTATCGGCACAGATATCGCTATGATTACATTTATCGTTACAGCTACTGCTATCATTACAGATATTAAAATTTGAGTTATTACTGTTCTAGTTATGATTACAGCTATCGGCACAGATATCGCTATGATTACATTTATCGTTACAGCTACTGCTATCATTACAGATATTAAAATTTGAGTTATTACTGTTCTAGTTATGATTACAGCTATCGGCACAGATATCGCTATGATTACATTTATCGTTACAGCTACTGCTATCATTACAGATATTAAAATTTGAGTTATTACTGTTCTAGTTATGATTACAGCTATCGGCACAGATATCGCTATGATTACATTTATCGTTACAGCTACTGCTATCATTACAGATATTAAAATTTGAGTTATTACTGTTCTAGTTATGATTACAGCTATCGGCACAGATATCGCTATGATTACATTTATCGTTACAGCTACTGCTATCATTACAGATATTAAAATTTGAGTTATTACTGTTCTAGTTATGATTACAGCTATCGGCACAGATATCGCTATGATTACATTTATCGTTACAGCTACTGCTATCATTACAGATATTAAAATTTGAGTTATTACTGTTCTAGTTATGATTACAGCTATCGGCACAGATATCGCTATGATTACATTTATCGTTACAGCTACTGCTATCATTACAGATATTAAAATTTGAGTTATTACTGTTCTAGTTATGATTACAGCTATCGGCACAGATATCGCTATGATTACATTTATCGTTACAGCTACTGCTATCATTACAGATATTAAAATTTGAGTTATTACTGTTCTAGTTATGATTACAGCTATCGGCACAGATATCGCTATGATTACATTTATCGTTACAGCTACTGCTATCATTACAGATATTAAAATTTGAGTTATTACTGTTCTAGTTATGATTACAGCTATCGGCACAGATATCGCTATGATTACATTTATCGTTACAGCTACTGCTATCATTACAGATATTAAAATTTGAGTTATTACTGTTCTAGTTATGATTACAGCTATCGGCACAGATATCGCTATGATTACATTTATCGTTACAGCTACTGCTATCATTACAGATATTAAAATTTGAGTTATTACTGTTCTAGTTATGATTACAGCTATCGGCACAGATATCGCTATGATTACATTTATCGTTACAGCTACTGCTATCATTACAGATATTAAAATTTGAGTTATTACTGTTCTAGTTATGATTACAGCTATCGGCACAGATATCGCTATGATTACATTTATCGTTACAGCTACTGCTATCATTACAGATATTAAAATTTGAGTTATTACTGTTCTAGTTATGATTACAGCTATCGGCACAGATATCGCTATGATTACATTTATCGTTACAGCTACTGCTATCATTACAGATATTAAAATTTGAGTTATTACTGTTCTAGTTATGATTACAGCTATCGGCACAGATATCGCTATGATTACATTTATCGTTACAGCTACTGCTATCATTACAGATATTAAAATTTGAGTTATCATTACTGTTCTAGTTATGATTACAGTTATCGGTACAGATATCGTTATTATTCCAGTTATCATTATAGCTACTGCGACCATTATAGTTATCATTACAGATATTATAATTTTAGTTATCATTACGGTTCTAGTTATTATCACAGTTATCGTTGTAGGTAACGTTATCATTCTAGTTATTGTTATAAATATCATTATTATTACAGTTATTGTTACCATTCTAGTTATCGTTATAAATATCGTTACGATTGCAGTTGTAGTTATCATGATCATTATGGTTATAGTTATGGTTACTGTTCTTGGTGTGACGTGTGTGTTTGTTACCTCTTCATCAGGCAGTCCTTCCTCATCCATCACCTTCTCCAGTTTTTGCTGCCTGTCAACAGAATGTTCTAATTACAAGATGCAAATTGCAATATTTCTCATCATATTTCTGCAGTATGCAGACTACTACATTAGACAAAATATATACATTTTAAACAAATAGTAGGTAGTATTCAGTGGATACTGTGCAGCACACTAATAATCCATCATATTATGGAAGTAAACCAGTTGGAAAGTTCATTCCGTGTCGACATTAGCACAGAACTCTGAATGTTATAAACACAGAGTAAATGAGCAACACAGTGTTTCACCACAGAGGAATGATGTTACGCTCCACTGACAGAGCACAACGCTTCAGATCACTGATTCAGTGCTTCGCTTCTTTAATATCATGCTGTAAGTGTGACCCGAGCATGTTTTGGGCTGCCGAGGAGAATAAAGAGCTCTTTGTGAAGCCGTAACACTCTTTATTTTTGTGTTTCTACCTCATTTCCCTCTCATCGTGTTGCGTTATGAGGTTGCTGTAGAAGTTCTCCAGCGTGACCTTGGCCATGGTCACTCGCTCCTTGGTGTGGTTGCTCATTAACGAGCTGGAGGCGTGGCCTCGGGTCGCCATGGTTACCAGTAAGTAACCGGTTGGGATGCAGCTCTGCGGGAGTTTACAAACACAACACGATTTACATGTGCAGTGGAGTCACGTTACACTGACGTAGCATATTACATACATGCAAGAATGCAAAACACAAGGTACTACCGCGGTACCTTATGAGTCTACTCTGACAAGAGGAGCTTTTGTCTCCCAGACTGTGCTATATTTGCAGTTCAGTCAGAAAACAGCCCGTCTGAGGCACATTATGGAAAGGAACAAATGTGACCATAAAAACATTTGGCAGCAGTTATTCAGACGGTCTGTTCTGCAGAATCTGCGGTCTGAAGCGCAAATATAGAGACGGTTAAGAGGAAACTCAGACTCACTTTCAGGAACAATAGAGCTGCTATTACTAAACCAATTATTGTTTAACAGACATGCTAACAATGAAACAGAAAATATGAGGGGGAAAAATTATAAATCCACATACATACATTATATATATATATATTAATGCTGTCAATCAATTAAAAAAATTACTAATTTATCACACATTTTTCAGAAATTAATCGCGATGTCCCTATTAATTTTTTTCCCAATATTTACCCATTGACTATAGCCATTCAACAGTACAGTATAATTAAGAGCTATCAATTTTAACATGTCTTACACTTTTAAAAATAACTTTTAATATACGTGAACTTAAAAAACTTTATCTTCATATAAACACATTATAATAAATCTCGGCAATAAATGTGCCCTCCAGCAAGAAAATATAACCTAATTAAAAAAAAAGCTTTCAAACACTACATTCTAAATTAAATTAAATAGAGATCAAGCTTAAAACTACACAAGTTATTGATTTCCTCTTTTTTATTTTGTTCTTTGATTAACAAACATCACAGCAGCTGGTTATTAGGATATTTTGGCTGCTACTTTAAGAGCTGCCGCTGCTGAACTATATATTCATATATATATACACACACACACACACACACACACATTCACACACACACACACACACACTCACTCACTCACTCTCTCACACACACACACACTCACACACTCA